GAGAATTCATAGACATATGGTTATCAAACCATGCGCCAAGGTTTCTAACATGCTTAAGGGGTTTAATTGAAGGAATGGTAACCTTAGATAACTGCTGCGACGAACCGATGACTAGAAATTCTGCCTTTGAGTCGTTAAACATCAACCTGTGTGAGACTAACCAAGCCCTAACATGAGTTATGAAGTTCTCAATAGCCTTAGTCGCTTGATCTTGAGCAGCAAACGAATCTGGATGAAACGACACGTACAACTGAGTACCATCAGCATACCCATGAATTGATGGAAGGTGCCTCTTAACAACCTCAAACAGCTTTGATGCATACAATAGCAAAAGGACAGCAGGTCCCAAACAGCTGAGGAACACCACAATTTAAATTGAAGGTCTTGGAGGACTACTGATTAACAATTACACGTTGTATCCTTCCAGTCAAACAATATGATCTAAACCACTTCAAAACATCACCGCAAATTCCAAAATCTGATTCCGGGATTTCAATCAGGATGTTATGATCGACAGTGTCGAAGGCGGAACTCAGATCTAAAAGAACAAGAAGAGTTATTTCCTGTTTGTCCATGTTAAAGAGTATATCACTCTGGACTTTAAGAAGGGCCGTCTCATTTGAATGAAACCTACGATAAGATGACTTCTGAACTGGAAGTGGTGCATTATCAGAGCAATGCCGGAAAAGCTGAGCCACAACTGCCTTCTCAGCTAATTTGGAGACTATAGGCAGATTACTAACCGGCCTAAAGTTCCTATATACTAGTTCAAGTCCCAGTTTCTTTAACAACGGTCTAATTAAAGCAGCTTTCCAGCTTTCTGGAACTTGTCCCTGTTGAAGAAATAAATTAATCATTTTAGTTACGACTGGAATTAGTTCACTGCCACACAGTTTCAACAACCACGTCGGTATCGGGTCTAACTTACAACTAGTATTAGAAGAGCCCATAATAATATCAGACGCTTCTTCCTCAGAGAGGACATCAAACTTCTCGAACTTGTTCTCAGGCAAGGGCGTAGCCAGGGGGGTCCCAGGTTGCCCGTGGCCCCCCCCTTGGTCGGTCTTCTTTAGAGCAAACAACCAACAATATTCAGGTGGCGAAACGCCATGACAATATCTTGGCCGTAAAAGCCATTGATATGGGCCTTCATGCCGCGATAATACGACTGAGCCCTCTGATACACGCGGGAGAGCAGCGGTGTAAATGGTGAGTAGCCTCTGAACAGTAATTAATTGAACTGTCTTTGAATGTTTGATGAACAGATTCGTATGATGAATAATATAGAATATTTTTCAGTAGCTTGAAAAGGATACTTCCTTGCTTGCTTTGAATTATAACTGGTTTTCACCCCAACAAAATTTTCTTGGAAAAGAACCCGGCCTTACCCTTAAATAATATACATGTTTTTGTTTTCGCCAGATTGACCACACAAGCTAAGCGTTTCAGTGTGATAGATCATAAAACGTAGACTGGAATGTGGATGGTTCGATGTGGACTGCCATATCAGAAGTATTTTTTTTACCTCGTGGATTATTGTAGATAGCTTTCAACTACACTCTGAATCGTTTATATTTAGGGGGTGAAAGAGTAGGAGGGAACTAGCTGGGGCAGAGGTAAAGGGCTTTATATGATTTTAACCGTAAAGTTTTTCTGGAGGAAGATGTGATTTTAACCGTTTAAAGTTTTCGTGGCGGAAGATGTGGCAAAGAACTTAAACTGGCTCGATCTTGTTCCCTAATAAGTCCGCTTGGTCAAGCTGAGGGAGTTTCCGAATAGCCTAATAGCCTGACTAAATGAAAAACGTCCAACAAACAATACAGTTACTGAACACTAAGGTTGACTTAAAAGATCTGAGCCGGGATATTTGGTATTCAGTTTCAGAAATTTAGGTCTAACTGAGGCTGATGGTCAGTGGAAAACCTTTATCTTGCTAAGGTTCTTTTTGTTTTCGAGTATTCTAAGATATTATGTTTTGAATCTGGAGAAATTCCTTGTGTTTTCTGGAACACCTCAGCGGGAGTCAAGTGAGGTAATCAGACAAACGCGAGTGATACAATGAGCCAATGAGAACCTAGCACCGGAGGAATTGGCGTAGACTACGAAACGCATGCCATTACGTCCTGATTGGTTCTAATTGCATCTGATTGGTTGCATTGTAAAGTGGCAAGAATCGACGACAAAGGGACTAATGTATCACTAAGTAACACGACATTCATACACGCGGACGAGCTGTCTCTGTAAAAGAGGAAAAAACAATGACATTTGTTATTTTTGCGGTTGTTTTTCTGATGATTATTATTTTTGATGAAGCATTATTGTAGTTTTTGAACTGAGTTTGCGTAAAAAAATGAAAACTTTGTATCAAGTTGTTTGCTCTCCGTTAAAAAGAATAAAATTTGAAGTTTTTTTAAGTGAATTGTTTCGCGTTGGAATTGCAAACTTTTGAGATAACAGGTGTTTGAGTTGGTGTCTGAAGAGATTTTAGTTCTGAGCGAAATATGTATGCGGTGTTCAAGTGCAGCGGGGCAGTTTTTTTTCTCTGTGTTATCCGGTAGAGAATAAAATCGACTGTTTTCAACTCCCGTTCTCGTTTTCGCACAATTTCGAAACAGAAAAATAAACATCATCTGCTCTAATTTTGAACAATATGGAAACAGTTTTTTGGAATAAATGTGTGGTAGAGCTTGTCACCGAGTGAATTCTTTTCCGCTCCCTCCCCTCCCCTTCCCGCCTCCTGACTTCGAATTGTTGTTTTGTTGTTATATCCAGTCCCAACCCATTTTCTCTGAGCAGCAAAAAAATAAAACTTGTTATGTATTCTCAATCGAACTTCGGAAGACTCGTGCATACATCATGGGAAAGAGAAACTTAACACGACTTAAGTGTTAAAAGAAAAAGTTTAATCATCGATGAGTATAACTTACAAACAGATGTTACTAAGGCCTACCCACGCGAAGGCTAAAGTATTTTTATTGAAAAAAAAAACTTACCGTTAGACATCCAAAAAGGGAAAGACTTATCTCCCTTATTACATTGATCTAGAATTTAAGAGGATATATTTTCATGCAAATTCTATATATCGACCGGCTGATACTGCCAGTTAAAATCAGCCCATCGACAGCGAGGTTTCGTGAAGAGTTACCCGTTAAACCAAAATTGCTTCAGTTTAAGATTTCCAGCAAAATACTACAATAAGCTAAATCACTGAACGAACTCGGCATATCTTGGTTTCAACTGAGCACTTGGTAATACATTCCTTTGTCACTGTCAACATCTAAAGCTAAGAATTAAATAATGGCACAAGAAGTTCAATCAGGAAAAATTTATCTTGTACATGTGTTACAAAGATGCTTTTTTCAGCCGCGTAAACATCCAAAAGTTTACTCCAATTTCGTTTTATTAACACCTTCCTAGAAAAATCCTTCATAAAGTCATGTAGTCTTCAGTGTCTAAATGTTTATTCTGCCGGGCACGGCATTTCTGTATTCATGTATTCGAGGTCTTATTGACTCACTATACGGTATCTTCTAATCTCAGCATGGTTATAATTATCTCGTTCTATGTAAAATTCTAATATTTGGTATAGACTGTCAAAAACTCTACGCAATCATGGCGTTTGAAAATAAAACATTTCCAATGTTTAGGTAAACATGTATTAGTATCTCTTGGAGAGCAAAATCGCCTATATATTTATCTCAGCTGTGACCTAGCGAGCGTATCACCTGACTAGTGTGTTACTGTTATGATTTCCGGTGACATTGCAAACAAAAAAAGAAATAAAAGTAACAACTAGTTCATCTCATAATGTTCATCCTACAAGTGGACATATGAAAACGTAAAAAAAAGGAAGTAAAGGAAAATGGAGTTTATCGTAGAATCAAAACACAATTGTTACCGATATCAGTGACCAGCAAGTCACCGTTCTTACAAACTGTTATAGCACAGGGTAATTTGATTTCATGTCCAAAGGAACAGAGAAATTCACCATCCTGGGTAAACATCTTAAGTTTTCCATTCACACCGTCACAGACAATCAGATTATCAAAAGCATCAACAACAAGGCCCGAGGGAGAGAGGAACTGACCTTTGCCAGACCCCTCGCTACCAATATCAATGAGGAATTCACCTTTCTTATTGAACACCTTGACACACTTAGCAGAGGGATACGACACAAAGTACTTGTCATGATGATAAAAAGTACACAAATGGTATTCTTGGTAATCTGAGGCAAAGATAGATTGTAGCAATTGTGCGCCGTCTGGGGAAAGGACCTTGATTTTATTGTCAGCTCCATCACACACGATCACGTGACCATCGTCAGCATCATTTGTAACAACAACAGACAGAGGACTAATCACGTGCTAACTGAAGTGTTGGATAAACTGACCATCATCAGTGATTAGAGACATTTGTCTTGAAGAAATAGCGCCATGGATGACTATCATATCACCATTCTTTAAGAATGCTACTGAGGCAGGACAATCAATCTTCACAGCTGCACCAGTTGGTGATGCCTTCTTACCTCCCATTGACCTGAGGTATTTCAAATTCTCATCAAAAATCTGAAGGCGGTCATCCACCATATCTCCCACGGCAATTTCTCCTGTTTTTTCATTCTTTGCAATACTCCGCGGTGTATCAAATTCTCCTTCTCTACTTCCGAATGACCCACACGACTTTACCACTTTATACTGATGTGGCTTCACCTTCACTCTCCAGGGACTACCGGTCAGCGGCCATCCGTTAATCTCGATCATAACGTGTAATCGCCCAGCACTCTTTGGTTTGTAATGTACTGTGTAGTTACCATCTTTAAGGTCTGTGGTTTGTACTTCTTCTTTCCGTGCTCCAGATCTGATTGTGACGGTCACGTGTTCTTGTTCGTTGTAAAACTGTTTTCCTTCTGAATCTCGTGTAGTGATTACGAAGTTAGCTTCAACGCCCTGATCGGCTTCTTTTAGACCGTTCCCTTCAGCTTGTGACTTCGAATGGTCAGTTTGACTTGATAAATCGCTTTCTAAAAATGAAACAACAGACGTACTACGAAAAAAAAGGAAAATAAAATATAGAAGTGACGCAGATACAAAATGACTGAGAGATTCAGCAGATTACAAACAGAATGTCTCTCAAAAGGTTGCTCATAAAATAAAATGTGGGCTGCTTAATTTCGAACCACTACCCTTTCCGTGTATACTGGATGAAAGCAATGGCTCGAAAGCTTTAAGCTTATGAAATAGCAATGATTATTTAACACTGAACATGTGTTATAAACTTTTAGTCGTCCTAGATCCTTCCAAAGTGTGTGGTTAAATCGCTTCAGGTTACGTTTTAAGAACGATTACTTATTAGTAAGTGTTATGTGCGATAAAGGATTCTCGTTTCCACTTTCTAGATGTCAGCTGTTGATCTCGACTTTAGTAACTAATGGTGTGCCAAAAAAGGGAAGCGTGCTGGCCGACATCAATTAAATTGGGGGGGAGGGGGATCATTGTACATTACCCTTTGTCGCTTTTAAACAACATGGGCCATTTTAAGGAGGCTCGTACTAGTTTCCTCGCGCGGGGAACAGATAACTCTTGCGTCACGCGCGAGAGAAACGTGTTAAAGAAGCGCGAGATTAAAAGACGAAAGTTTAAAACAAAGATGGGGACGCGAGGATTTTTTTCTATTTATGTGAGAAGTTTATCTAAGAGCTTGTATTTGATGTGTTGAGCGGCCATTGTGAATGCAGGAGATAGTAACTAAAATAAAGAAGACTATTTTCGAAGAAGTAAAGGTTGCTTCACTTCACATTTAAAAGAAATATTCAACCGATATGAAATCTTGCGACGGCGAAAAAAGAAGAACTCAAGTGAAGGATAATCTACCTGAAGTGGAAGAAGACTTTGAAACTTCAAGGAAAATAATATGATATAGCCAGAAGTCATGTGTAGGATTTTTAAGATGAGCTCGGGAGGCTGTCTTTGACGGCTGTTTAATGATTTTCTTAGCAGTAAACGTCTGTAAACATCAGATCGTAGGTGCTCGCGCGAGCACACGCAATTGTCAGCGGTAGCTAAAACAGATCATGAGCAAATGTCGATCTTATAGAATCCAGATTTTTAAATGCGCGAGAACGCGCGTGGAAATTGCTAAACTCACGAAAGCTATTGCATGAAAACAAGTCCGGTGACCCCTTCTTTTTATTGTTCCAATATGATAATAACGTCGAAAGGAATCATCAGAAAAAAAACTAGAAAATTCTACGGAAGGAAATTTGCGATGTNCTTTTCAATACTATGGCATGCATTCTAATGGTTGACGGTAAAACTGGCCATTATGTGGTTAAAATTTTTCTTTTTTTTTATAGGATTATCAAATTTCAACAGTAAACAAGTTGATGAAATTATAGAGAAGAGTAGCATTAAGCCTGCAGCATTACAAGTGGAGTGTCATCCTTACCTTAATCAAGCTGAGCTTTTAGCTCATTGCAGGGTAAGGGACGTGGTTGGTAAGTTTCTTTTTTAACTGTTTAACTCCCAAGATCTGATTGTCAATTCTCTCCTCCTGCTGTTACACATTTCCTTGTAAATTAGTTGCAGGAATTTGGTGTTAGATCAAGAAAACAATTCTACCTGATAATTTTGAGTATTCTCATTACCTATTTGCTGGATAATGTTTTGTTATTATAGGAGAAGTTACATGTTAATCACTTCTGGGAGTTACTTCTAGGTCCTGAACATGGACCTCCCAACTTGAAGTCCACTTCATCTCCCACAGGATGTGAAATTATCTGTTTACATTTTATTCTTTTGCCACAGTAACAGCATACAGCCCTCTTGGATCACCTGATCGTCCATGGGCAAAACCTGGAGACCCTTACCTCTTAGATGACCCCAAGATGGTAGAAATCGCCAATAAATATGGCAAGTCTCCTGCACAGGTCTGTATCCGCTTTCAGATACAGCGTGGTTTGTCTGTCATACCCAAGAGTGTTACACCTGTTCGCATCAAGAGTAACTTTGAGGTAGGTTTTGCAAAGTCCTATGGGATATTAGTCACTGTTAATGGTTGTTCCAAACTTTACAATGCTTTGATGGTAAGGAAAAATTTTGAGACAAATTTTCAGTAGATGTTGCCAATCTGGCAACCTGTGCTTGGCAGTCATGTGGCAAGCTGTAACATGTTCACTATTTTATTTTAATGGTCAAAGTTAACCTTTGCAACCAAACATCATTTTGCATTTTCATCAGTAGGCATTTTCTCCATACTGTTCTCTCTCTGCAGTTCTTAAGTAGAATTAATTTGGATATATCAACAAAGTTGAAATGGTAAATTAGCCACCATAATGATTACAAAAGCTGATGTTTCGGGTGTTAGCCCTTCGTCGGAGCAAACTACGAAGGGCTAACGCTCGAAACGTCAGCTTTTGTAATCATTACGGTGGCTCATTTACCATTTCAACTTTGTTGATATATCCAAATTATATCATGCTACATAAGTAGCAGTGACGTCGACAACGAAGACGACAAGAGTAAAGGTGATAATGATGACAATGATTGTGATAACGGAAACGCTTAACGATTGGCAGTCTTGTATAAATCACTCATTTTTTTCCAGCTTACAGTGAAGTGAGTGTAATGTGGCTAATAATTCATGAGTTTATTCCCGGGGTACTCGGAAAAACGAGCTCCAAGTGCTCCCCATAGGAGTCTAATCTACGACCTTCTGTGGAGTACTATAGGATGCTCTACCACGGAGCTACCAGAGACTCGTGGTAGACTATTCCGTTTAACTAGCTCTATGGTGAAAATTAAATTAAAATTAAACCTCCTGCATACTGCTTGGATAGGATTGACGATATGTGATACTTTTGCACAATAATGATATAAATGAAGATGATAAATTTTAAGCTTGGCGAGTGAAAGATGATATTCAGTCAATAACACAGGCATACTCGGGAAAAAAAGAACTCCGAGTGCTCATGTAGACTCCACTCCTCTAGCCACTAGTAAATTTAGTGTGAATGTGTTGTAGTAGTAATCCTAATACGTCGAATGAAAACTTATCGAAAACAAAAAGCAGCCCAGTGATTTTTACCTGCGTCTGCTGCCTGCAAGAAAAACTTCCTGCATTCCAGGTAGTCTCCTCTTTTAATAGTAGTTTTCAAACTTTCATCTTTCAGATCCAGTTTCTCTCTCACTTCAGCAGTCAGAATGAAATTCTCAGCCATTTCATTGAGGTGACCAGAACAATAGTCATTCTTCAGACTTTCAAGGCTCTCTAGGGTGGGGGGTTTCACTTGAATTTCTAAGCTGCCACTCCTTGCGTCTATGACACTCACCTTGTGCTCGTTTTCTAAGTACCCGATCAATCGACATAGATCTTCATCTGGAGGTAGTTTGTTTGGTAGTTTCTTTCTTTCTTTCTTGATCATTAAGATTCGTTTTGCCAAATACTTGTCAAATTCCACCACTTTTGCATCATCATTCAGGTTGAGGAAAGATTTGATAATAATTGTCTGACGTAGTCTCTCGACTATGCCTAAGGAAAATAAAGAGCGGTCACTCCACAGAGACAATCCACTCAGATTTCAACGTATTAATTTAAATCCTAGGTTATCGATAAGCAGGTTTTGCGTAATCTGCTGTACACTTTAGAAAGACACCTAGTTCTTAATTTTGAGAGAATGAACATGAATATGTCCGTTGCGAGAGGCTGGAGAAATTTTTTCCGCCTTTCAATTTTAATACGGTGTATAGAAAACAACAGGTGTATACACCCGTTTTCATAAACGTCCCAATTTCAAAATATATACTAAACATATATATATATATATATAGATATATATATATAGTCGTTAGTGGAACTCTTAGGCCAACAAGGTGCACCGCGCCAGGAGGATCAATAAAGATTCGCAGTCCAAACCTCACAGCAAACACGAACGTAGAAAGTTTAAAAATTGCGAGGATGGACAACTTCTGACGTGACAAATATAACAAATTTTAATAAAAAACGTTTCGGTCAGAGACCTTCCTCAGTTATTTACAACTTTTGAAATAAAAAAAGAGCATTAAGTAACATCGAAGTGCTAATGATTACGTAATTACAGATAACGACTAATGAACTGGTGTTAATAAAAAGATGACAAAAAACCTAATTACAAAGAAAGCAATGGACAAAATACAAGAGACAAACCCTAAAAACTAAGAGATAAGAATACTAAATATGTTAAAATGAGTGGCGTAACCAATTGCAAAGAAGCAATGCGGCAAGCATTAAAAAAGGGGAGGCCCACTNTCAGTTCTTTATAATTAATTCTTTAAGATGAATGAGCGCGCTGTTCATGTTCATGTTGCGCGCACGCTCTGTTTAAAATCAAATTTAACAATTATTCACCGAAGGTCCGGTGAATATTGTGAATAGTCAACGATATTCACTGCACTTAGCCTTTGGTGGATAATTTGTTTAGTATAAATGCTCAGATCAGTGCTTTCGGATTCTGTAGTAAACTCTGTAAATAAAGAAAGCATGGCGCATATTAATTTTGTTACACTTGTGTCGATTATTGGCACCAAGATAAGCAAGCAGTTCTAACAGGTTTATCTCATTCAATCAATATAAATTTTAAACCTTCCTCTTGAAAAAGTGTTCTGCCAATCTTTGAGCATCTTTTGTGCTCTCCGTAATTGAGTTTTCTTCCATGGCCGTCATCACTTTCTCGGAGAAACTGATTGAACGCGAGGCAGCCATTTTGAAACTTTGCGCTCCTGCTATAATCACCTTGCGCAAGATGATTATTTGACAATCTTTCGCGGAAGGCGAGGTTAAGATATGCATGTTATTCACCAGCCGAGAGGTTCGTATCGGGAAAATTTGTACTCGAGGTCTAGAATAAATTGTTCAGTTTACGGCAAAATCCGCCATAAACTGAACAATTTATTAGCGAATAGTTAGTAGGGTTAAGTTAGTAGTTAGTAGAGAAGTGCAAATTATATAGAGAGCCCTCTCCTCAACACTTTAATTTGCTTAATAATAGAGGGCATTTAAAAGGCTTCCAAACAACTTTATTGGTGATAGAAATGACGTAAAAATGTTCAAAACTATGTACTTCACTTACAATGAACTTCAATTACGGAGCCAAAGAAGAAAAAGTTTTCATTTGATTTCCAGATTTAGTATTTTAGACAGGGTTGTGCCATTAAATTAAATACGGTTCTTCCTCCGTATTAGCTCTTTGGTCTTTTGTTCGACGGAACAGGGTGTATACATTCACACAGAAGAAATCAATTAACAATGCCGAATTATATAAATATGTCTAAAAATTTATAATAATTATAAATTAAAAATATATAAAATGTTAAATCCAGATAGGATTATATTTACTACCTGGACCAGCACCTCCTCTTGACTGCTTAACAACTCCAGGGAAGGACTTGCTGCATGGGTGGTTGTAGTCATCTGTGATGAAGGTTTTGAGGTTTACATCTTGAAGCTGAGATTCAGTAATAAGGCAACTTTTGGCGATTTTATCGAGCTTACCAGACCTGTGGTTTTCTAAGAGCTTTTCAAGGCTCTCCGAGGTAGGGCATTTCATTCTTATTTCTAAGCAGCCAAAACCAAGTCCCCAAGCATCCACTGAATGTTTACGTTTTAGAAGTTGAAGAAACTCGTCTACTCCTTTACTTTGGGAAAACGAGTCCCGTTTCATGAAAATATTCGTTTCTGCTGGAAATTGTCGATCGCTTGTGTTGTGTTTTTCCGCACCAAGACTTTCAGTGACTACTTCAAGTCTTATAACGGCCCGATCTCCCTCTGAAAGAAAGAAAGTCCAGACAAGTTGCAAACCAAACATTACAAGTACATGCTTTTCTTTATATACTTACTTTAGACAATGCTGTGAGTGACTACCCGGATCGTTCTTCGTGGAAATCAAACTTAGTTGGTGATCTCCCAACATATGGCAGAGTAAACTGTTTGTAACTCGTAATGTTTATTTTTCATGACAGGGATATCGTGAGTGTTTCCCGAGTCATTTCTCATAGTAGTAAGCAAAGGTTTGCTAAGAACCTGTTATAGTTCAGGGGTAGGGGTGTTATTTATTAGTCATTCGATTGTAATCATTACTTTCATCATAATCATTGATATTGTCATCTTCATGCCTGCGCCTTTCACCGCAAAAAAATCTTTATTCCTTGCCCCTACTATTTGGTAAATGATCAAAATTTCACATTCGTATACAATGCTTACCTGGTTTACCAAGTTCCACTTTTTCTAGGACAGTTTTTATGCCAACAGATTTCGGCTTAAGTTTCGTTTTCACTTCCTCTGCCAGAAGGTGTTTCTCTGCATCGTTTTTAAGTGTTCCATTGTTATAAGCAATCTCCAGCCTTTCGAAGGTTTCTCCTGGGCATGTCACTCCCACCTTAAAGCAGTCAAACCTCAACTCTTCAGTTATCAGGCCAAAGGTTTTTTCTATACGGTTAAGGAAGTCATCTAGTCCTTTTGTAGGAGAAAGTGTTTTGCGTTCCACATAGATTTGTGCGTCTTCAAACTGACGTTGGAATTTCCCCTTTTGAATGTCAATGTTTAGTTTTACCTCATGTTTTGCACTAACGATGCCTGGGAATGATAAAGATAATAAAAATTGTTTGAAAAAAATTTAGGAATTACGCATTTCTTTTCCTCTTTCTTGAATTTCAACTCCAAATCTGTCTGCTACTTGGGTCCAAAAATTAACAGTTAACCGGTTAGAGTAAGGGAAAGCAATGTTAAATGTTTATTTGTAAGGGGCGTGGTATACAATGATCAATGACATCCGATGCTGTCAGGACATCGACCGTTTTCTTTCTTTCGTCCCGCTGATTGGTAATGCTGCGCGTAAACGTTAAACTCTTCAAGTGATTGGTCAATATTGACTCAGTACAGAATGGCTCACTAGAAGTACACAGATTGCAAATTTATTCATGTGGTCACCGAGGCCGTTAGTGGAAAAACTAAACCCGGCTTAAAAGATTAAACTGGGAGGCCCCAACCCAACTATGAACAAAATCAAATAATACCTGTCTCCTTGGTGGATGATGCAGTCGGTGCAGCAATGGCCATGTCCTGTCAATTTAGAATCAGTTCATAATCAGCATGCGTAGATCGAGGAATGCTGGATCCGAGGGCAGTTTGGAGTTTGTCGAATACTCTACATATTTCCCTACATTTCTCTTCATATTTCCCATGTGCATTCATATGCTCTCAATTTAAGGCATGAACATCAAATATGATAATAATTCTAATGTCATACGAGTGATAACAAAATCGGACAACCGCGCAGCGGGAGTCTGATTTAACAGAAACGACTTTCGTGAGTTTGTTGTGCTACAAACACAGTAGGCTTTCTTTCCTGGCTCTCGAAGTAAACAAGTCATTCTTGATTCTTAATAAAGCGAAATCTTTTTGCGATAATAAATTTTTTATTATACGAGCTTGTTCTGTCAAGATGACTGGATATTAGCCTCGTTCTTTTTTCGTATTTTTATTGACCGAGACGAGGTCGAGGTCCATAACTGAATACGAAAAAAGAACGAGGCTAATATCCAGCCATCTCGGACCTCAAACTTGGTTAATAACGCATATATATAACTATGACTTTTTTTCTCCCTTTGTTGGTTGCGTATTTAAAATGGACACTACGTCAACAGAACCTATTTCACGCAGGTATTACATCTATTTAGAACAAGAGGATCTAAGATCGTAAGTCGGGCTACAGGCTTTAACAAACATCGCATAACCAGACCTCAATTATTTTGCATAATTGTGTTATTTCTTTTGCAACATCATTTTTTTTGTACACACAACGCTGATTCGTCACACTTTTATTGTATACATGGCGCTACTTTGTCCAATGCATAAATAATATGACACCACGTTATCTGGTACCAAACGAACATTCTTGCGCAACAGTATGCGAATATAATATACCCACAAAGGCGACAAAACTAATGAAACAAATAGAAAAATAACAGCTGATCATGTATTCTGTTTGAGAAAAAACAACAAATGTAAGCATAACAATCCCAATGAAGGTTACACAAGCAATTACGTTTATCCTTCTTCTTATGCCGAAGTCCAACATGGCGGAGTCCAACATGGCTATTTTGATCAAAAAAGGTGTTGATTACACTCCCCACTCCAAAATCATAGACCCCTTGGGACGCTATATTATTTTAAAAGCTGAGATTAAAGACAAAATTTATGTCCTGATCAACATCTACGCACGAAATAAAGATAAAGACAGTTTCAAATTCTTAGACGTTTATAGATAGACGTTTATTGAGAAGAATACCTTAATAGCAGCTGGAAGCTGAATTGCAAAGGTGTACAAATTATGTAATAGAACTATACAATAAAATCAAACCTAAAAGGGAACTAATTTACATATACAATTGTAATAAATGTTAGTTAAAATGTCTTGCGCTTGCNTTTTAACTGTCCACTTTATACGACCCTCGATAAGAAAGGAGGCATACTAACGCCTAGGAAATCAGTGGTATCAATCATAAATAGCATACAAGGTGACCTTGACCTAATAGATATCTGGAGAGTGAAAAACCCTAACACAAAAAGCTATATGTGGAGTCAAAACTTGCCTTTTAGATTATTGGTTGATCTCTAATAATCTGCATAATTTAACTACATCAACAGATATAATTCCAGCTATCAAGACAGACCATTCGGCAATCTCTTCAGAATTAAATAATAATGACAATCAAATCAAAGGTCCCTGAATTTGGAAAATGAATTGTGCTCTCTTGGAAGATGACCGATGTGTTGACGATATTAAATCAAAAATACCAGTCTGGCTGGCTGAAGGGTACAAGGATCTTTCGGATAATCGAAACATCTGGGATTGGCTGAAATACAATATGAGAGCTCATGCAATTCAGCATTCAAAACATGGGGCAAAGGAAAGGATTGAAAAGGAAAACCACCTACAAGAAAAATACTCTAAAGCAAAGAGGGAATTTGAAAGAGACCCCAGCAACCTTAATGTAGATAGATACTCTCAATTCTGTTAAAGAGGATCTAGAATTATTTTACGAAGAAAAAGTAAAAGATATTATTATTCGCGCAAGAGCCCACTGGCATGAACATGGCGAGAAAAGTACGAAATGTTTTCTCAATTTAGAAAAAAGAAGTCATATCAAACAACATATGCGAAAATTGAAAATCAGGGGTTTAATGACTACAGACCCCTTCGATATATTGTCCGAACAACAGCGCTTTTACTAAGGGCTGTACGCGAGCATAAATAAAATCGTGGATGCAACGGCGAAAATTGAAGGCTTCCTAAGGGATTTAAATAGTCCTAAACTGTCTGAGGAACAAAAGCTCTCGTGTGAAGGAAAAATCACTCCAGAAGAGTGCACTTTACTTTTGGAAACTTTTCAAAATAACAAAACTCCTGGGAATGATGGGATTCCAATCGAATTCTATAGAAAATTCTGGTAGTTGATTAGTGAGCTTTTCATCAAATGTGCGAATGAATGTTTTGAAAAAGGTGAAATGTCATGGTCTCAAAAGCAAGCAGTTATTACGCTCATTGAGAAAAAGGGTAAAGACCATTCCCTCTCAGAAAACTGGCGACCTATATCTCTCGTAAACGTGGATGCAAAAGTTATGTCAAAGGTAATAGCAACTAGACTTTAAAATGTTCTGCCTCAAATTATTCATCATAATCAAACCGGTTTTGTTAAGGATCGTTATATTGGAGAAACAGTACGATCAATTTTTGATATAGCGGACTTTACGGCTGAAGAGAATTTTCCCGGTTTAATGATCTTTATTGATTTTCAAAAGGCATTCGATACCATAGAGTGGTGTTATCTTCGACGTTGATTAGAATCCTTTAATTTCGGGCCCGAATTTATTCGATGGGTCGTGACTTTTTACAATAATATACAAAGTTTCGTGACCAATAACGGTATCACTTCTGATTATTTTACACTTGAACGAGGAGTGAGGCAAAGGGATCCGCTCTCTCCATATCTATTCGTAATAGCTGTCGAAACCCTGGCAATTGCAGTTCGTCAAAATACAGCGATAACAGGAATTACTATCGGAAAGAATGAAACAAAACTCCTCCAATATGCGGACGATACAACAGCAGTACTTTCAGACGTTAATTCCGCTCGCATCCTTTTTAAGTTGCTCGATGATTT